TCAAATTACCTAACTTCTCTATTAATACTGATTCAGTTTCAGCGAAATTATTTCAGATGGAAAAAAATTTAAATCTGGAATTCCAAGAAAACGGGAAAGGTTCATTTTCAAAGTTTCAGGGTTTCAATTTCAAACATCAAACTTTTGAGGAAGCCCTCTATTAGAGGGGCCCTTCTAATATAGGTTTACATTTTTCAGACTCCGGGAAGATTTTTTTCAGGCCATCTGAAAATATCACTTTTTAATGTCCTTTGATTCTCTCTCTGGTTCATTGGAATCTGAAATGGAGAATTCGAAATTCTCCGGTCGTTCCACTCAATTATCTCTCTTAACCGGAAGGGATAGTTATGCGAACGATAGTGTTATTGAGACAAAATCAATAAGCTCAGCTGCAGAAATTGAACATTCTACACGCACTGAATGACAGAAATCTTTGAGAGAATAAAGTTTATTACTGAAACATAATTTTTTGACATGACTAATAATTTTCAGCTCAATTACAACAAAAATCTTTGAAAAAATTCGTTCATTCGAAGTTCAACAAAAATATGACAGTAAATCCCCAAAGAAAACCAAAAAAAGAAAAATATAAAAACAGGAAATTCTTGCAAAATCACAATTACAATGCGGAAAATAAGACTATTATTCATCTTGTCCTAATTTCGGGACAATATCAAACATTCAATTTCAAAAATTTTAATATGACCAATTTAGTTTTTGCAACTGTAATAATACAAGTACTCAGTCGAGTTCTTGATCCAGTTTGTCCCATTGCACTTATAAAATCCATGTTGTGCATAACCTTTCTGAAAAAAGGAATTATTTGTCTATAAGAATTTTCTTAATTGCCCAATTCTCTTGGATTTCCAATTCTGCGTCTTCTTCCTTATAAGTAAAAAGTGTCGGTGAACCAGAAGAACAGGATACATTGGTGACCTGATTACAATTAGACCATGTTAAAATAGGTTTACTGTAGTTTCCACGATTTTTCATATCATCTAGGAATGAACTATCTAATTCAACCATATTCTGATTATCAATCGATAAACTGAAACATCCACACGTCGATTTGCATTCAGTTGGGAAACCATAAGGACATGTATCTTCTGAAAAGAACTACCGTAAAACCTGTGTTAAAAGGGTCGGCCCTTCTATTGTTCCAAGGGGTACCTCTGCAGGGCCCTTCAATTAGAGAGGTCTCTTTTAATACGGGTTTTACATATCTCAATTCTATTAAGAAGTATCAATTATCTAAAAATTATTAGTGTTGGTGATACCTGATAAGGCATAATAAAGACCAAAGAATAATGTTTTCCAATATGTTCTAAACTTTAAAAATTTTTGAACCAGTATTTCTTGTAGTTTGGGATTTCGGTGAGCGAGAATTTTCTCCTTCTATTTTTCCGACAATTTTTCGGTGAATTCTTTGAAATTCGTTGAATTCTCGTTCAGAAAAATCTATTAATTCTGCCAACACTTCAGCAACTATTTGATAAACTCATTGGCTTGGTTTATAGGGCTTTTGAAACAGAAAAAATATTTTACACATTTTCAATTCTCTGAAATTTCTCAGTTTTCGAAAGTACCGTAAGACTTCTATTAGAAGGACTGTCGCTATAATTGTTGCAATGTAGCTCCAGAGAGCCCATCTATTACAGGGGCTCTTCTATTTTTCCAGAAATTTCTTAAAACTCAAAAAGTTATATGAATTCTCGTTAATAACTCACAGTAACCTAAAAATCAATTTCATCGAAACAGAGAACAATTTTGAAAGTTTACAAAAAGTATGTTTTCGACCATTTCTTTTTAAAATGTTGAATTTAAGGAAATTTGGTATTGGAGCCCCTCTTCGAGGGCTTTTCTATTAAAGGGGGACTCCGACCAAAAATTTTTATTGCATTAAAATGTATTAAAAGTTATCTATTGTCCGAATATTATTGCGAAAAAATTCAAAAAAAATCAAGAATCCCCGAAAAATGGCGTTGAAAAGGAAGAAAATTCAAAA